TATTCCTTTTTCTCTTTTCTTTCACATAATCTTTTGTGTGTTTCTACTGAATCTACTGAAATCCCAATTACTTCTGCATTTAGTTCTTTGAATTTTTCAATATTGTCACTCAATTCTTTAATTTCTCTTGGGCAAACTCTTGAAAAATCTCTACAATAAAATCCAATCACATGATATTTCCCTTTCTCAGCTTCCATTTCATATTCTTTTATTTCTCCTTTGTAATATGCTTTCCCACATATCTTTGGTGCTTTTTCTCCAACTCTGATACTTGGTTTGGTTCCTGTGATTGAATAATACATCTCTTTAACTTTTTTTATCATCCCTCCTTCTTCTTTATTTCTTACGTCCATACTTCTTTCTCTTCCATCTCTTCTTTTCAATATTTGTCTTTTCATTTCTTTTTACTTCATATCTTCTTTTTCTTTATTTTGACTATTATTTATACATTAAAACAGATAGAAGAGAAATACCCAAAATATGATGAGTCTTATTATGACATTAAGAAAGCATATGACACAGTAAACCACGAATGGGTAATTGAATCATTAAAATATTTTAATGTAGAGGGAGTCATCATTGACATGATTGAAAGTATGATGACTAGATGGAAGATATTCATAGGTTATAAATTTAATGAATATCTATGATGTATTAAATTAAATAGAGGAATTTTACAAATGATTCATTATCAAATCTACTCTTCATCATACAGATGAATGTAATTTCTCAAATCATCGAAGAGAAATTCCCAAAATCAAATCACACTTTATATATGGATGATTTGAGAATAATGACAGAAAGTAGTGAAGAAATTTGAATAATCCACAATGAAATTAATGATAAATACATCAAAAATGGAAATGGCATCAAATAAGTGACATTTTAGAAGATGGAATGAGTCAAAATGAGTAGATAAAACTACTACAATTAAAGCATGGAAATCAATATTAAGAAAAATGCATTTCTACAATTAACTAAAATGCAAGATGGAGCAATATTTTGTGGGTATAGAAAATCAAAAATAATGAAAAATGAAAGATTGAGATACTCAACACT